ATATAATTTAAAGGCGAAATTTAAATTTCCCGCCAAAATTGTAAATTTTCAGCCGCGGAATGGCGGGAACTTTTAAATATATTAATTCGGCAATAATTATTGAGAAGTATATTGCATGTTCGATTAAACGAGCTGTAAATCCAGGCGCTATTTTTATTTTGATAGCTAAAAATAATACTAATTCTTTTATTATTAGCTATTACAATAAGAGCAGCATTTGGATTAACAACACATTTAAAAGAACATGTAATATACTTTTCAATTTTACCTAAATCACTTATTTTTTACCTATAGAGGTTAGATCTGAAAAAAAAATTGGCTCTGGTAAAAAAAACAAAAAATTGTATAAAGTATTTTATTTGAAAAATTATAAAACTTATTTAATATATTTTAAAGACGAAGATAACTCTAGCCATATCCATTTTACTGAAAAAAAAAAAAGAAACTATTAAATGAAATCATTCGATATCTAATTTCATCCACACCCTCTGTTAGACAGTACCAAAACGTAACAACCGAAGCAATGCGTACGCACGATTAGTTACCGACACCAATTCCGCATCCGCATAGACGTGTATGAGGTCCACACGATGCGTGTTCTGTAGATTCGTATCACAGTAACGAAAGTAACGAGTAACGAATATTTTTATACGGGTAGTCAGATCCGAAGTAACGAATACATACGGGTATTGATTTTCTCGTTACTTTTACAGTTCTAATAGACAATTCATAATAAAAATTAAAAAAATAATAGAAAAGTGAACATAAAAATTAAATTGAAAAATTTAGGACAACTCCCATAATTAAAAACTAAATTACTTCAAAGTAAATACTCAAAGTGTTGTCCATTAACTTCCATACACGAATATAAATTATTCTCAATTCTTTGTCTGACGTTTTGGAGTATTTCTGGAGTTATTTGACGAGATTCGGTAATAATACGTTCACGTAACTCTTCTAAGGAACCTGGCTGAGTGGCGTATATTTTACTTTTCAGTTATCCCCATAAAAAGTAATCTAAGGGGGACAGATCAGGAGATCGTGGAGGCCATTCAGTAAATCCTCTTCGTCCAAGTACTGACGAACCGCTGCGGCAAAATGTGGAGGAGCCCCGTCCTGTTAAAATATTAGGTGATTTTCAAGGTATCGGTTATCGTTTTCTATTATGTCTGTTAACAATGGATCAACGGTGTTTTTGAGTAATTCCAAATACATATCCCCAGTTAAAGTACCTGGTAAAAATAATGGACCAACAATACGATTGCCAAATATTCCAGCCCAAACGTTTAACTTTTCTGGGTGTTGAGTATCGACAATTATGTCGATTGACAGTCCCGTTAACATAAAAACTGCATTCATCTGAAAAACAAATGTTATAAAGAAAATTTGGATCTTGTATAGCATGCTCGCTCATGATTTCACAAAATTGCAAGCGGCGATCAAAATCGTCTTCGTTAAGTTTCTGAACTAAATGAATTTCATATGGATGGAATTTGTTGGCTTTCAAAATTTTCCTGACGGTACGGTCACTTACTCCAGATAATTCTGCAAGCTTTCTTGTACTAAGAGTTGGATCTGCAACAACTTGTCCTAAAACGGCTACCTCTACGGCTTCGTTTCTTACTGGATTTTGAATCTGCCGTTTTTTATTTTAAACAGATCCTGTTTGTCGAAATTTTGAAATAAGTTCCAAAACGTACTTACGTTTAACCTGTTTGTTTGGGTGTCGCTCATTAAAAATTGTACAGGCAGTGTTAGCACATTCATTATTTTTTAAATAATATTCAACAATTTGATCGAAAGATGTCCCCTTTGAAATAAAAATCGACCTCTTTTTGCATTTTCTCCAAAAAAATGTGTCTGCAAGATATAGGATCTGTTTCGTTTTCGGTGCCTCACCCTGTATATAAAAACTGTATTACTTTTTAAGTCTTTCCACAGATAGAACGAGGGAGACTCGGTAAACAGTACCATTGCTTCAGCAATGTTAAGAGCTGGGAATAACTACTTGCCTAGCCAAATACGTCCATTCATATGTTTAGCCCTTAAAAAACACCTTTATATTGTACATATAATGAAATTTTCTGACTTTTTGAAATCTACGTTTACTCTCTGTGCGAAGTTATCTCGAAAATAAAGAAGTCAACTATCTAAATTGGAAGAAGATGTTTAACATTCGAGTTGAGAAGGAAAACCTAAACAATTTGTTTTTTAATTTAGAAAACATAAAAGCTCAAATGACGTCATTATCACGAATCTACCTAACGTCAAAGTAACGTCTATATTGGGTGTCCCAAGGTTGAATGGAATTATTAAAAATGCTAAGCAGATGAAAGTTATTTATTTAATCCAAAAAATACATGAAAAATATATTATAAAAAATAAATTACACTGGTAAATAAAAAAGTCATGAGCAAGAAACCAAAAGGAATCAAATGACAAAAGAATATTAGAGGAACTGACACAACATACCTAAAATTGTAGATTTAACTTTAATTGGGGGTGGGCGAGCATGCTTTACGATTTCATCATCTTCAGTATCATCGAATGACAGCTTTCTAGTTGGCACCTTTATTCTATTAGGCATTCCAACGACCTGTCAAACAATAGGTGCCAGTGGGAAATTCTTGTATATCTAAGGGGGTAGCGACATAATCTTGCAACTTGGACGCTATTTTTATTCGAAGTAGTACTCGCCAAGCCTGCCAATTTATGAAGAAATGTATAGGTGGGTTTTTTAAATATTATTTTTATTGTGTTTGACATAAAATATTTAAATGTAATCCATTATTCATGATTTTACGTAAAGTAAATAGAATACACCATATGTCGCCACCCTTAGATATACCAAACCTGCCCACTGGTAATTCATTTGTTTGGAATGCCTAATTAGTAGGTACTTTATCAGCATCAGCCTTGGAATGTAGATCTGAGGTAACTTCAACTTTTTTTAATTTGGTACATCACTTATCATTATCATCTAAAATAAAAGAACTATTAAAATACAGACCACTGAAAATTCTTAAAGATAGAAAGTAAATTGTGTATCTAGTTGTAACATCTGAGGGGAATACTTCACCGGAGATTTAGGTAGTAGCTCCAAAAACTACCTTCTCAGAGATATACATAGTCTGAGTTTATAATAAAAGTTAATAAAAAAAGATCATATATCCTGTGAAATAATAAAAGGTATCTAAATCAAGTGGCCCACTACAAATCTTTCATTTTTAAATAAACTATTAAAAAAATACCCTGAAAAATAAAAATATAACATTACTCACCAGTCTTATATTATATTTCTTTATAATGGCGGGCAAAAGACTTGTTTTTTACGCTGCGTCGGCCATTTTCTGCTCACCTCACAACTACCAGACCGTCATCATCCGGTTTTTCAAACTCAATAATGCAATACATCTGTAAAATACCAAATTCGGTTTAATATATTTTTTTATCTTGTGAATTTTAAGTGACGTCTATTCTATGTCATCAATGCGACGTCAAATACATGTTACTGATTAGGATATTGTAATAATAAAAAATTACGTCATAATGACGAATCTGTATTGACGTCTAATTAACGTTGCAAAAACGACGTCAAAGTAACGGCATTAATTGGCATAGTGACGTTTCTGATGAGTAAATCCCAAAAAATCACGTCATAATGACGGCACCTTGCTGCTTGGGTTTTGCCCCCTTTCAGCGATTGTTAGCGCCCCAATCTGCTTCTTGCCTGTACTGCTAGAACTTTGGACAAAACACCATCAGCAATACATTTTAAAACCAATAAAAACAAACCTAAAACCAGCCATATACTGATTGAAACTAAATAATCAGATTTCCTGGTTTTACAGTTTTTTTGATAAAACAATTTTTTCTACACCCACATGGATATTAGCTTATCTACGCACAGATTACAAAACGAAAAAGTATGCTATTGCCTTCAACTGAACGAATATATTTCGCAAAATGGTCCATTTTCGATAGTGAGAACACTGCAAAAAAATGAAATCCTCCAATCACCGTTCATATTTTGATCAAACGACTGCTATTATTTTTAAAATTTTAAATAATTGACAATTCTGTCAAACTAATTGTCAGTATATTTTTTATTTATTGAGATTAAATTTACATTAAAATGAGTTATTCTTGTGTATAATCGATAAATAATAGCATTTGTTTTTATTTCGCCTATAATTATAAATAATTTGTTAATTTAAATAAAACTGTATGAAGTCAATTTAATAACGAGTATTAAAACAACAAAAATAAAAGGATAGGTGGTCCTGTGGTTAGCGTTCTTGCTTCCATACTGAAAACTCGAGTTCGATTCTCGGATAGGGAAATTATAAAAAGTTATAAATTATTTTAAAATTAGTTATTTGGTCTTAATAACCTAAAATATTTTTATTTGTAAATGTTCGTTAGTGGGTCGTAGAAAAAATATTATGTACAACTCGAGTGGATTGTCCACATCGCACTCAGATGATTGAGCACTCCGCCTACGACGTAGTGCTCAAATTTCGTCTTCGTGCGATATGGCCATCATATCCACCCTTGTTGCACAAACTACTATTATAGTCCTAGGAAAAATATTGTGCATCACTTGTGTAAAAGTGATGTTTCACACTAGTATGATTGTCGTACTCGCGACAATATTTCCCTCAATATTTCCCACTCCACATTTATAATGTAATATTGTCACTCTATAGTAATTAGTGCCAATATCTTGGAACTTTCAGACTTTCGTAAAAGTACAAATTTCATGGTCAACCTTAGTGAAAATTAGTGAATGTATTAAATAATATAAATCAAATAGTTCAGTTATTTATTTAAAAATCAATTTACCTTGATAAAAACTAAACAAATAAAAGAGTAACAATAACGGATATGTTAAACTAATTACTTTAAATACCATTAATAAACATACCCAGGAAATTAATAACATGTTTCAATCCTATTATGATGTCAATATAAATATTTATTGAAATTTTTTGTTATAGGTGAAAGTCAACTGCATCTACAGAAGAGAAACCCTGTGATGATCTCTCTCACAATCTTCACACAACAACAATTATTAATTCTTCAATCAACAACAACAGGCATAGAGAACTAGATTTAGATTAAAATTAAAGTGACGGAACAACACAAGTGTAACGTCAAAGTGAATTTGTTAATTATAATTATTGTTAGTTACAATTCAGGTAAGGAGGATTGAAATTTCACGTAATTAAAAAAATTATTATGATTCTGGTGAAATTTTGTTCAGCCTGTTTAAAATTGTTGTTTTATATGATAAGTTTGTATATTATTACAAGGGTGTTTTGATAACTTTTTTTGCATATTTTTTTTTTAATTTCAAAATTATCTCAGTAAATAAATATTATTGTAGTAGGTACATATACGAGGTAAGATTAATAAACTTTATCACGACTGCCTGCCATGTAATTAAATCATTGGGACTTTGAAAAAATACCCACTTATCCATACATTTAGCAATCTTTTAATATTAAGCTTTCACTAGTTCTCAAAACAAAGTTTCAGACTAAAAATTTTAGTTTTTTAGGACCTTGTTTTATATGCCTACTATAACGTTTTATTTTAAAAATGATACACCATGTAATGATAAATTGAAACAATCAAATAAAACTACAAGTGATAGAGAGATGGAGACCTGCAGTAAAATCTACTGAATACCGAAATAATAGACAGTAACTTAGGGTATTAGGCATTCCAACGACCTGTTAAACAATAGGTGCCAATGGGAAGCCTTTGTATATCTAAGGGGGTAGCGACATAGTCTTGCATCTTGGACGCTATTTTTATTCGAAATAGTAGTTGCCAAGCCTGCTAATTTATGAAGAAATGTATAAGCGGGTTTCTTAAATATTATTTTTATTGTGTTTGATATAAAATATTTAAATGTAATCCATTATTCATGATTTTACGGATAGTAGATAGAATACATCGTATGTCGCAACCCTTAGATATGTCAAACTTTTTCACTGGCAATTCATTTGTTTTGAATGCCTAATGGTCTGATATTAACTGAAATATCGGTTACTTGGTCCTGAAAAACTGGTTAAATTAGGGAAGCGGTTACCTGAAAATGGTGACTCAAACGTCAATTCACTAACCGGTATATTTTTAAGGGTTACCATTAAGTCGAATGTCAATCTGGCACAAAAGTGACGTAACTCTCGGCGATGGTCCAAATATAACTAACAAATTAGTTCTTTTCAGGACAGGGATTCTTACGTGCGTAACAACACGTAACGAATCAAATAGAGAGAGATATTACATACAAATCGCATTATGTATAACGAAGATAGTCGTCTCAACTATAACGAAGATAGTCGTCTCAACACGTGCCGTTATGAAAGATGAGAATCCCAATGCAGGAATAGTTACGTTTAGTAGTTTGTTAATATCGGAACATACCCTTAATGTGTGAAGAATACTGTCAAATGTCATTGCGCCAAAGTTTGGAGAAATTTTTGGAGGTTACTGAACAAGGAGATTTTTGGAGATATATGGTACCTCTGTCAGAATTCTTCACACATTCTTGGTATTAAATTACTGTTTATTATTTCGGTACTCAAGTATAGAGTAACTTACCTCTAAATTTATTAAATAATTTTTGTGATTTTTTGATAACTTATAAGTTTACAAATCTAGCAACATAACCTACTCTACAAAAAACTAAACAAAAACCAGTCATTCCTTATTTCTTCATAAAATGGCTAGTTACAAATGTCAAACTATGAAAATTTTATTTTAAATGTTTTACCCTATATTAATAAATTTAACCGAATTATTCATAAACATTGTTTTTACCTTCTTTTTGTACCTTTTGTTTAAAAGAAAAACATTACAATACAAATAGGGCACCTATATTACAATGGCTTACACCGTCACAGGATATGTCTCCTCTAGAGTTTTTTGTGGTGCCATATAAAACAAAAGTCGTGGGTATTTAAGACATCAGCTATATCTAACAAATAACCCTTGAAACCAAGGCCTTGTGTATGAGAAGTTTTAGGCAAATGTGACTAGGCCTGTTAATTACAAAATGTTGGCCATTTTGATACATTGTCCTAATATTTAAAAATTATTTTCTAATAAATCTGCATTATGTGGCTTTTATGCCACTTTTATTATTTTCTGGTATCGTATTCAAATAGTTTGATATGTTGCCGATTTGTTTAAGGAGTAGATTTTACATAGGTTGTTCACAATTTCTATTAAAATAATGACATTACTAGAAGTTTATAAAATTTCACCAGTTGCAAACTTATTTATAAAATTTCAGTCTACTTTACCTAAATTTCGAAAAAGTGGACATTCCCAACAATAGAAGTGTCGTTTAGTGATTAATTTTTAATGAACATTCAAGTTATTCGGTTGAATAGTGCCAAAGAAGTATGCGGAATGGAAAATTATTAATTAAAAAGTTAGAAGAATGACTGCCTCTATGGAGAACAGAGGGCGTAGAAAAAGTTCTTGGGATTCCAAGGTAAGAATATTTCTGTAAATAATTTATTAAAAGAATAGTCAAAATTATTATTTTTGTGTGGTATTTTTTTTACGTTTTAAATCGTGGAGTATGTCGAAGCGTTTAGAGCTGAGACTCTATTTACTCTGAAGCTACGCTGCTTTTGGATGTAACGTACAACGTAGATCCCGAATTCATAGATATTGATATTAAACAACGACGAAAAACTACTAGACTAATCCATTCAATATCAAGCCATAATATTTACTTGACAGAGTTTTCATAACTGCTGCCCCCTTTAGAAAGAGCGAAAGGCCTATTAAATCGAGTGGGAATGATTGATGCAATCACGCGTTTTATGAATAAACCAGCTCGTCTTTATCTTTATCGGTTGTAAGCAGGCAGGGTTAGGTTTGGCCCAGAACACTGCGGCCTCTTGGGTCTATTGTATTCCCCTGCTTGCCCCGTATTCAGGTACTATCTTTGGAATAGTCCTGTGTCTTTGGTTAGTTTTGATAGGTTCCCTACCACCAAGTGTTCCTATGGCGTTATTTCCGGTTCTAGGCCGAAAAGGATGAAACGTCGCCCAGTAAGAGCTTCGCATTAGAAGATCACATGGTATGAGGTTTCTTCATCTTCCATGCAAAGTCTACACGTAGTGGGATCATTGTGTGTGCCCCAATGCCCCGTTAGTAATCCCACAATGGTGGATATCTGAGGCCTTGTAGTGCCTCAGTAGCCATGCGTGGGTTTGGTCCCCTTAGCATGAGCTTACTGATTCTGTGTCCTCTTATCTGTTGCCAGTGAATTTGGTGTTTTGTGGTTATCCACCTGTTCACTGCCTGTCGAGCAGAGGTTTCGCTTATCCCAAATACAGGTTCGGGCCCTGTGAATGGTAGATCTGATCCCTCTTTGGCGAGTTCATCAGCCGTTTCATTTCCTTGGATACCTGTGTGCCCTGGTACCCACGCTAGTTTTACCTTGTTGTGGGTTGCCAGATCATTTAGTATTCCAAGACAGTTCCAGACAAGCTTTGACAAGCTGCCTGGCTATCTGAGAGAATTAGGATGGTTTGTTTTTTTGTACTTCCTTCTTAAATTCTTTCGTACACACAATTTGATTGCATGTATTTCAGCCTGAAATATAGTGGCACGTTTTCCCAGTGAGACGATGATATTGCTTTTGGGTTTAACTCCATGTACGCCAGAGCCTGTTCCCTTGTTAGCTTTAGATCCATCCGTATACCATACGAGACCGCTAAGCAAGTATTTATCTATTTCCTTATTTACCTCGTTCCAGTTACAGTTGACCTGGAAGAGTCTGTTAAAGGTTAGGAGGGGTGTCATGTGATCTGATTCCATATTTAATATAGAATCATTTACTTCATGTGTTATTCTGGTATGTTTTATATGTCCCAGTGGGTTCCAGTTGTTGGAGATTTCCAGTCTGTATGCACTCATTCTGGCCTCCCCCTTTATGACTAGGTCAAGGGGTGGGAGGTTTAGAATGATTTCCATAGAGGCTGCGGTGTACTTCTCAGTGCTCCTGTAATACAAAGGCATGCCAGCCTCTGTACTCATGAAAGAGTATTGAGGGCTGGCTGTTTTCTGATTTACTTTTGACCACCAAACAACCGCTCCATAAGTTATCATGGGTCTTGTTTAGCTATAGCCAGTGGACCATTTTTGGTTTTAATCCCCATGTTTTTCCAAATGCCCATCTCCCTACAATGAGAGAAATTTTACATTTGTTGGTCACTTTTTGTAAGTGTTGGTTCCAAGTAAGTTTGCTATCTAGGATTGGACCAAGATATTTTACTTGGTTCGTTTTGTTTAGCCTTCCTCCAAATAGAGTCAAAGTTTCTAGAACCTCCAATTTTGTTTTTCGAGTAAAGGTTGTGAGTTGTGCCTTGTCAGGGTTTACCAAGAGGTTTTCCCTAACGCACCACATTTCTGTCAGCCTAAGAGCTCTGCATGAGTTCAAAGACTGTGGTTTGGCGTTTCCTCGGATAAGGATGACTATGTCATCGGCATATTATTGGGCATACAGCCCTTGATTGTTTAGTCTTTTCAGCAGTTCGTCTGCCACTAGGTTCCACAGTAGACGAGAAAGGACTCCACCCTGTGGGCATCCCCTGTGGATAGTCACCTACACGGTTTCACTGAACATTTGTGCCTGTACTTGCCGTCCGCATAACATGTTTTCTATCCACCAGCTCGTACTACCATGATTTCTGCTTTACACCGTTGTATAATTAAAAAATAAATAATGTTCTTTAAATCACCTTCATCTACAAATAGTTGCAACCAGAAAAATATATTAAACCTGACACTGAGACTGTAAATATACTTCCTTAATGTAATTTTGAAAGCTTTAGCTTTATGTTAAGTAAATTCCGAATTATAACCATAAACAATTATTGAGATTCGTGAACTTGGCACAACAACATTGCAAAAATAGTGCAAACATTTGTGAGAGGATTGCCCATCGTTTGCCTATTATTTCCCATAAAATAACTTTTATTGCCCACCCTCTGTTTTCAAAATATATAGAAAATAATTTTCGCGGGCCAACTTCCAAACAAAAGTAAACATTTTGATAATTTAATTCCATAGAATAATAGCATTTTGTTTGCCCACGTGTGCCCATCAATTATTTTTTTGAAAAAATTCAAATTAAAAAATATTTACAAAAATGAAATATGATGAGTGTATTAGGTAATCGTTGGTTTACCATTTTTTATTTTTCCAATTTGCAGCCTTTCTTCAAAAAATTCAAATTAAAAAAGAATCGGATGACTATTTCACAGAGCCTTGAACTTGGCACCACATTGCATAAATGGTATAACAGTTTGTAGGAGGATTGCCCATGGTTTGCCCACGTTTGCCCATCAATTTTTAAATATATAAAAAAAATGAACAAAAACAAAAAGTTACAAAAATTAAATATGATAACTGCATTTGGTAATCATTCGTTTACTGATGTTTGCCCATTTTAGTTTTTCCAATTTGCATACCATTTTTCGAAAAAACATTCAAATTAAAAAAGGATCGGATGCTAATTTCATTACTAGTGCTTTATACGTATTTTTATCTTATAAAATGATGGGCCGTCATCGACATAATAAAAAACTAATTGTATACCAATAAGGAATGTATTCTGAGGATTGCTCTTTTTTTATAAATCGTAGGTCAATGGATAAAACAGCAATACTAATGCAATTATATGTTTATTTATTATGTATACAAAAAAAATAATTTATGGGCAATAATAGGTAAACGATGGGCAATCCTGTCACAAATTTTTGCACCATTTTTGCAATGTTGTGGTGCCAAGTTCACGGACCTCAAAACATTGTAATAATTTGGCACCTACGTGAATAACACCGTAAATCCTTGAAATTCGGTTTTTGTAAACAAAATAGTAGTAGTTTGTCGTTGGTATTAATTTTGAAATTTTCTACCATCTTTTAACTACCAAATGTCCAATTCTGCAAGAAAGTAGGTTATCACCCACATTAGTATAAATTCGTAGGTACCATAAAGGATGAATGACGAGCAATATAAGAATTTGCATTTGCATACTGTATTGACACACCCACCATTATAATGTGTTCATCGGAAGTATTCATTTTAGGTCATCGTGTCACTCTAAATTTTCTTCCATGCAGTCACAAATTGCAGAATTATTTTAAGTACGAGAGTATCGCTAAAAGTATTTTAATGTAATTTAGATAGTGACTTTGTTTTTTAATCCCGCTATCAAGGTATTATTGTAATGATTTTTTTATCTCTTATATTTCAGACATTTTAATTAGGTAACAGTAAAATATCGCTGATTTTAAATGACAATGATCTTTAAAATGTAGTTTTTAAAACAAGTAATTAAAAGAAATTATTTTAATTAGATTTATATTAATATGCCGATAATGAACCAATTTAGTAACTTTTACAGTTAGTACCTACTTTTACAATTTTACATTTAAAAAATACAATTAATTAAATAATTAAATAACAACTGTAATTTTTTGCGTATATATATAGATAAAATAAATCAGATTAAGATTCTTATCTCCTATATTACAGGTTAAATAAAAAAAAGGAACACCAAGCAACAAGCCTGTTTTTTTAAATTATTGATTAAGATGATGTTGGTATTGAATAAAATATACATTGCAAGAAAGACCAATATTTGTGGTTCTGAGTTCTGAAACATGACTAAAAATAAAAAAAAAAATAACAAACATTTTGGTTTTTGTGAATCTGTTTTCTTCCTCACATCATAAAGGCTATAACAAAATGTTTATTCTTATGCAGTTCTCCAATAAGTCAAAAACTTCAGATTATTGAGCTTTACCCGTAGTACCTACAGGTTTATACTGAGACAGGTACTAAATGTAAATGTCATTATCTACGGGGTGGCTCACGCTCAACGGGACGGAGCTTTATGGGAAAACGACCAAAGATAAAAAAAATTCGTTTGGGAGGAATAGGTATTAGTTCATTAAAAATTATTCAAACAAGAGTAAACAATTAATTTCTGGGAGACTTTTTTTCATTAAAAATTCAAATAAATCGAAAACTAATAATAATAGTAATAGGGAACCTTTAGTTAACTGACATTATTTTTGATGTAGTTTTTAATTCTAAAATAAAAAACAGGGTGTTCCATTAAAAATAATATAACTTTGTATATTTTCTCTTATGTGGGACATCCTGTATAAATCTAACAAATTTTAAATTGTAGCCGTCTGTAACCTACGTATTCCTCCCAAACGAATTTTTTATATCTTTGGTCGTTTTCCCATAAAGCTCCGTCCCGTTGAGCGTGAGCCACCCTGTATATTAATTGGCAGGTACATGGTTCTCGACACCCTCATCTACCGCCTTAAAACATTCACTACACGATAGCGTATGCAGATGACCTGGTCATTCTGCAAATAGGGAATTTTAAGAAAATACTCTGCGAAAGAATGCAAGTGGCTCTCAAAATTATAGAACAGTGGTGCAAGGATCATTGAC